CAGATGAGCAAACACTGAAAAATACGTCTTGCAGATGTAAATGCAGACGTCAAATAGACGTCTCCGTGATGCACGTATGCTATCAAGGCCATGGTTTTATTTATAGTAAGTGTAGTAACCATGTTTTTTTGGCGTATTGATTACCATTTGTATAACCAGTTTTACTACAAATACCGTGGTTAAACCATGCAAAACCATTACCACAACCATTAGTGTAGCAAAACCATGGTTAATTTGTGGTTACCATATAGTAACCATGTTTTGTTTTTTGTAGTAAAACCATGGTTTTTCGTAAGGGATATCTTGTAAGTGACTTATTCCTACCAGCATTTTCCATAAAAATGTCAAAGAACACAGTAAATTATTGTAATTTTTAGCGGGTTTCTAGCCCCTGACTAGTGGTCTGTCTGCTTTCCAAACACATAAAGCAATAGATCCTTTTAGAAAATTAACTTCAAAAGATACAAAAAGAATTAGGGATAATCAATGAATTATGAATAATTTACTGCCATTGTGTGAATATTAAGTAATCATGTAATCATTAAAAAAATAACTGCAGTCTGATTATGAGTATTTTAAAAATTGCATTTTAAATCTGATTATGTAATCCAGATTATATATAATCAGTTACTACCCAGCACTGTCAAAGTGTATTGTTGTAGCTGCTATAATTGTAAGTGAAAATTGAATTTCCTTTAAACAGCATTCAGAATCTTGATGCATTTTTACTTTCTTTTTTAATGACAGTTATGGTTGTCACAGCTTTATTTTATAAACTATAAAAACAGTGGCATTTTGGTCAAGACCCTGGTTACCATGGTGCATTTTTGTAGTGGTCTTCATTTAGTCATGGCATGCTTCTGGTTAGTAAAACATATGAAAATTGTTTCAGGTAAACCAAAGGGAATTGCTCCTTTCATCTCTCAAGCCCTCACTTTAATAGAGCTTGAGTAAACATGACAGGAGCCTGAAAACCTGCTTCCTGTAAACAACCCCAGACACACTTCTCATTGAGATGAGCTGTGAAAGTTGCATTTAGCCACTCTATCAGTGTTCATCTGAATAAATTACACAGCTCAGAACAGTCCAAGGGCAATATATTATAATGTGCGAGCTCTCAGTAATATCCTCCCTCCTGACAGCACACGCACATTTGTTTCCTCAGGTCTAGAGGAAGACAGAGGATGAAGACTGTGATTGTGGTGCATGGTGGCGTGTGGGCCATCCCGGACATGTTAGCCGAAGCATCTGTGGCTGGAGTCAAGAATGCTGCGCAGGCAGGCAACGCTATTCTTAGGAATGGTGGGACTGCAACTGACGCTGTAGAAAAAGCTGTGAGGTATTTGGAAGATGACCCAACGTTTGATGCAGGTACAGTGGGTACGGACAGTATTCAGACCCCCTTAAATTTTTCACTCTTTGTTATATTGCAGCCATTTGCTAAAATCATTTAAGTTAATTTTTTTTCCTCATTGATGTACACACAGCACCCCATATTGACAGAAAAAAACAGAATTGTTGACATTTTTGCAGATTTATTAAAAAAGAAAAACTGAAATATCAAATGGTCCTAAGTATTCAGACCCTTTACTCAGTATTTAGTAGAAGCACCCTTTTGATCCAATACAGCCATGAGTCTTTTTGGGAAAGATGCAACAAGTTTTTCACACCTGGATTTGGGGATCCTCCGCCATTCCTCCTTGCAGATCCTCTCCAGTTCTGTCAGGTTGGATAGTAAACGTTGGTGGACAGCCATTTTTAGGTCTCTCCAGAGATCACTGAAATTATTTATATATATATATATATATATATATATTATTTTTTTAAATATATATTTTCACCTTGAACCGGACTTTTTCAATAAAAGACTTCAAGCAGAGGAAGTGCAGATTCAGTAGTTTGTCAGAGACTTCATCTAGGCTCTGAGTGGGACAGTATTTCAGCACACACCCTTGACACTTTGTTAATGGCCATCTTGAGAGTAAGGTGAGAGGTTCTCAAATAATTATCAGATTACAAGGAGGAAAGCAGGGTAAAACAAGACACTTCATTAACACACCCGGCCTGTCGGTGCCAATCTCATTTGTGGAGGCTAACTGCCACCATAAGTGAAATGGCTAATCCTCCACATATCAGAGCACATTCAGTGGGTCATCAGGATCAGTTTATACACTAGGGTAAGCCAGAGGCACAGACTGATCAATATATGAATAATTCAATCCTGTTTAGAGTATTAAGAGGAAGACATTAGAGTGGATAGCAGTCTGGAGTATGTCAGGGTGTCATGACAGAGATAAGAATGAGATATGTGTGTGAGAATGAGATAATGTTGTATTACTCTAGAACCTACCTACAGTATCTGTCTGTCTGTCGATCCGTCCTTCTATATACACTGAAAAAAAATGATATTTCGGACCAACTTTTAAAAAAAACTCTGATTTGTTACAGCCAAATTAGTTTAGTTTTAATTCTCAAATTATACTTATGGTTTGGTCCAACCCTAACATTGTAGATCAATATATATATATATATATAGAGAGAGAGAGAGAGAGTATATAACAACTTAATTTCAATGTTCAACTTAATGTTCAATTTAGTTTACACTATAAAAACTTCAACAGACCTTAATGATTATTGTGATCTCTATTTAAAATATGCATTATATTTTCTGTTCTGTAAAAAAGAACGAAAAACCAATCTCATGTTAATCTTGAGTACCTTTATAGTAGTATTGCATCCTTCATATCGCCAAAAAGAGATTTTAGTTTTATCAGATTTAAAAAAATAAAGATACAGCTTTACGATTCTCTCCGGAAACAGCCGAGTTCCTGGAGGCGTGCCGTGGGCGGAGCTAAAGAGTGACGAGCGTCGAACCAGCATAACATAGAAATTTGATGCAGTAAGTTTTACTTACCGCCTGCGGTTCCGACTCATGACCGGGATCTTTTATCACTGGGACCGCTCCATCTTTCAGTATCAAACGATGTGCAAATCCAGCGTCGAACTGGGCCTTGTTTATAATATTCGTCACTGAAATGACAGGAACAAACAAACACACGTGCACAACTCCGTTGCTGCCCCGGAAAAACAAACCGCATCCACTGTTCACTTAAAGCTGTGTTGCTTGGGAAGCTGAACAAGGTTATCTTTCCCTCACATCTAAAAACACACTTCTTTGGAGACATTAGTGATGTTACATTCTGTGCCGAGGAGCGTGTGTCGAAAAATCCCGGCAGCTTTCAGTGAAGCGCGTATCGAGTAGTGATGTTAGGTTCTTGAATGAATCGTTCTTTTGAGCCGGTTCACAAATCGAACTGAATCGAGAATGTTTCAATATGCGTTGACACGTGTTATTGCTTGATGACGTCAGGAACCGATTAATCGGCTTTTTGAACCGGTTCAATGTGCCGATCTGTCCGAAAAGAACCGGTTCGCGGAAATGAATCAGACTTTGCATCACTAGTATCGAGGCTTGTATCGCTTTAGTTTAGAGCAATGACGTCATTGATGACGTCCGAAGCCTCACTTGGCCTGACTGGTTCAGGAAGCGGTTCAAATCTTGTAAATTCACAGTTCTCTGCCCTGTTAAACCCCGCCACTTTCCAGTTTTAGACTAATAATATTGCCCCTCCTGCCTATTATGAGAAAAAACTTGATTTACACACATTTGATAGCCCCATTCATTTCAAGCCAATACGTTTATTACACAGTTATGTTATATTATGTTATACAATCATTATATACCACTAGAAAATACACATTATATTAATATAAATAGATAAGTCTATGTAGAAATTTATTTTTCCCCTTCACCATTATTTCTAAGCCTTAACTGGCGCAAAATACAGTGTATCATACATCACATCAGGTCATCTGTAATGTATCTGCTTGTTTTACACTCTTTGGCCACCAGGTGGTATTGTGAGCAAATGAAGCCTCGAGAAATGAGCCCTTCTGTGAACCACTTGGCTGAAAATCTTCAATGCTTCATGAGGCTTCATCTCGCCATCACTAGGAGACATTCTTCTCGAGCAAGTCCTGTGCAGCGCTGTCAGGAATGAAGCACGTTGATGGACGCGCTCTTGCTCTTGCTCTGGTTGATGCTCTGGTTGATGTGTGCGCGTCAAGCGGCAACCTCCCGGTAGGGATGGGCGTATTGATCCGAAGTATCGATACTGATGCGAATATCGAAAGTATCGATACTCAAACAAAAAATATCGATACTAAGGTGTTTTTTATTTACCAGTGATTTTGTTTATTTAACAAAAAAAATAATAATGCGTACAATATGCATTGAATTGGACGAATAACCTTTGTTAGCGAGTAATTGTGTAGGATAGAACTATTTTCCTGCTCATCTGAACACGCAAATGTTGCAAGACAGAACTAATCAATCACAGAGAGCGTTCACTTACTCCTGCCAGTACATTCAAACAGGGCTGCTTTTCCCAAAAGTATCACAAGAAAGCATTAAAGCTTTTGGGAACGGCAACCCTGAACAATGCTTATCAGAGGACATAAGGACAGAGTTATTTCACAATAAACAAACTGAAATTGTAGCTTACATAGTTTGTGCAATTACAGTTATTTAAATTGAACGTTGAAAGATAATATTGATCATGTAAAAGTTGCATTTTATGCATGCAACAGCCATTCTTTCTAAAGTGTTTTTGAAAAATCACTTACTCTGCCTTTAAACATCTCCGATGACGTTCATTGCAATGTTTTTTTATCGCGTTACAAGGTAGGCTATGAAACGGATTTAATTGAGTACAGTAACTGATTTTATGTGATACGCTGTCATGGCATTCGGCTCCTCACACGTGCAGAAGTGGGCAGCCCTAGACTGAGAGCTGGCATCTGCATTATAAAAAGAAAAAAAAAACTTTAAAGATTATTTACGATTAATTATTGTTGCCAAGTTATCTAGTCGTTGCTTGTTTACAGTGCTTTGTTATTATATGGAGAAGTTTAGATCGCAATCTGTCTAATTTGTTTGTCTAAAGAAGTGCCGACCGATGTATGAAAGTACACAAGTCACACCGTAATTTAAAAGCGCAGACTTTAATGTACAGTAAAAACAGAGGCAGAATACCGTATAACTCCAGGCTGGCACAGTAATATTGACTAACGGCTAAACAGATGCAGAGCACCGTAACTTAATTTGAGCACTCTAAAACCAAGTCAAAGAGCGGTAACTGATGATACTGTGTTCTGCCTTGGTTTCTCCTGGGCTTTTCTCCAAGATACTTATACACATGATAAAGGAGATCATATATGTCCCAAAATTATCAATAACATTTCGACCATCGATTAGTGACGCGCGGTGACACGCTTCCAAGATGGCGGCGGTCAGCTCCGCCCACTTTAGGCTTCAAAACATCTCGGTTACGTATGTAACCTTGGTTCCCTGAGTAGGGGAACGAGAAAGGTGCATTATCGCCACCTACAGTGTTGGAGTGTGGACCAAAGTTTACCCATTTAAAAAAAAAATCTCTTTATCAGTTCTGTTCTTTTGAGATAAAGAAATAAGCTCTCTAATCCATAAATTATTATACTTTTAAGTTTTATTTCTTCCACTCCCACCTATAAGTTCCTCCTTCTTCATTGTTTCTCTTTCATAAAAATACTTTTGACAAACGTTCCACTGACTACTCCACACTGCTCACATAATCCTGTTGGAATCCTGTAATGACAGGCTCAAAAGGAAATAAATGCCGGCTGATTTTCGGATAGATTTCAATCAGTGCTCTTTGTAATGATATAGATAGATGTCTTATACAATGATTTATACACGTTTAAAAGACAAGCATATAGCCAGCACTTTCAACTTATTTCTCAGGGTAGATTTATTTTGAAAAGTTAATTTCCATGTAGGCACAATTTTCAAATATTAGCTACGTGTAACATGTTAACCTACAATACACTAAATTAGTTAGCGCAACGAAACCTGCCATTAAACACTCTATTAAAGGCTTTCAACAAAGTAAAAAAATATAATAATTTAACACAAAACAATTTGTGAATCTGCAACACAGTGGCTTCAGTTCACAATGGCAAGACCAAAAGAGTCATTCAATCTTACAATATCACATTGCAATGACAACATAAAATCAAATCCTGCAGATTTAATCCTGACCAAATCAACAGGCATTGGTTACTTTAAAGGGGTCATATGATGCTGCTAAAAAGAACATTATTTTGTGTATTTGGTGTAATGAAATGTGTTTATGCGGTTTAAAGTTAAAAAACACATTATTTTCCACATACTGTACATTATTGTTTCTCCTCTATGCCCCGCCTTTTTGAAACGCGTCGATTTTTACAAAACTAATCGGTCTGAAAAGCGAGGTGTGCTCTGATTAGCCAGCTATCCAGTGCGTTGTGATTGGCCAAATTCGCTTTCACAATGAAAAACACAGCGGCCTAGCATGAGCGAAAGCCCCGGCTTACCGTGAGCTGAGGCGGCGGGATCGAGAACGGCGGTCCCGGCGGATCCAACAAAGGAGCGGTGAAAACGGTGAAGGCTGATCCGGTGATCCACAGCACTAAGTTGATGTATTCCCTCCGCGACCAGCACGGATCAGCTCTAGGCATGTCGGAGCGGATATCGTCCTCTTTTGGAAGATCAAACAAAGTAGTTTCGCTTTCACAACGAAACACACAGCGCCTTCACGACATGGCAGCGGCGGCAACAACTACAATACTACAGCGAGAATAAAAGTTACGTCTTCTTTCTTTGCGTGAACATTTGGGCGGCGTTATGTAAATCTTCCCACATAGTGAGGTAGATATGTGGGGGCGTGTTAGAAAGAGCCGTTTTAGGTAGGTGTGGCTGACTCTTAACTTTTATAAAGAATATCTCTTTGGATTTGAGACTTTAGTCTTTGCAACTTTACAGATCTTCTTTATGCACCAAGAGCTTGTAACACTCCAAAGAGAAAGGGAAAATTGAAATCGCATCATATGACCCCTTTAACAGCCAAGTCTACTACAACCTTAAAACAGATCTGTTCAAAATACCTTTATCCACTCTATTTTAAGGGCAGTTTAAGACACTTTTTGTCACATTTAGCTGTATTAAGGCCCATTTACACCAAGACCGGTAACTATAAATGATAACTGTCTATAACTAGCGTCCACACCATCAGCCTATATAACGTTGTTTAGTTAATATTAGCTCGAGCTCTTTAAAGTCAGATGGATTCTGATTGGCTGTCAATGTTTTTATCCTTCATCAGCTGGAAACAAACCGCTCATAAAGTGACTCAAACAATGTTGTTCTTCTCGTTATCATTATAGCTGTGGTTTGGACTTCCCTATTCGCACAGAATAACGAATATTAAAACTTAATAGTTAAAGGGATACTTCACCTAAAAATGAAAATTCTGTCATTAATTACTCAACCTCATATCGTTCCAAACCCGTAAGACCTTTGTTCATCTTCGGAACACAAATTAAGGTATTTTTGATTAAATCCGAGAGCTTTCTGACCCTGCATAGACAGCAACTCAACTGAAATGTTCAAAGCCCAGAGGACATTGTTAAAACAGTCCATGAAACATCAGTGGTTCAACGGTAATTTCATGAAGCTACGAGAATACTTTTTGTGCGCAAAGAAAAACAAAAAGTCGTTATTTTTGTTTTCTTTGCACACAAAAAGTATTCTCGCAGCTTTATAAAATTAAACTTGAACCGCTGATGTCACATAGACTATTTTAAATATGTCCTTACTACCTTTCTGGGCCTTGAATGTGGCACCTGTTTTCAAGCAATTTAAAGCTCTTAACTTTCTCTAGCAATGAAATCTTTCCAAATGTTTATCCCGTCTTCTTTTTTGGTCTCCCAAACACACTAATGGAATCTGCACTGCTCAGTTCAACAGCGCAGCGTGGGCGAAGTGTGTTGCGACCAATTAGATCATGCAAAAGTTTATTACTATTTTTTTTTCTTTATTCTCACTGTCACACTCTTTGAGTTACTTAGGTGATGTCTGTCTGGAGGTAGAATTATTTTCTGCATACCATTACACCATTACCTAACAGCATCAAGCTTAAAAAATAACCACACACAGAAAAATTATTATTAATACTCCCATAACCTTGGTCATAGTCTCTCAGCTGCTGTTATATAAATGCAGTAGTAGATATATAAGATATGTCAAAGACATTAACATTTTCATTTTCACCAAAGTTCACCTTGTGAGGTGTTGGACATGGAGGAAACAAAACCCAATGAATACATGATAATTGATTAGTTTCAGCACCTGTCTTGACTGCCCCAAAAGACCTTGGCCTTACAGTGGATTGGCAGATCTTCTTTAATAGCCAGTATTAAAAATTCATCATGTCTTGATCAATACTGCGATCAAGCTTCACTGACCTCATGATCTTGCTTTGCAATCTAAAATGCACAGTATTTGACAAAGAAATATGACATTAATAACCACGTTAATATTTAAAAGTTTCTTAAGCCAGAGTTATGGTTTAATCCATTGTGATGTTGTACAGAAAGTTACACAGAGAAATAAAATTGTCTCAATAAATAATAGCAGTTCCACATGGAGATATGGACAGTAAATATGAAAATAAAGTGAAAGGGTATACATAAGTTTTTGATTTATGAGTAAAGTTCTGTTCAGTAACATAAATGACACACAGTCATACTTCAAACATGACATTTTAAAGGGAAACCATAGCTTGAAACAAGCTAGTATGTAATCTGCTTGCTAAGTCATGACGTGTCAAATACTATTTCCAAGTTCAACCCTCTACTCTGTTTCAAGTAAGAAATCTCAACAGCTGTTTATGAGAACAAACTTTTAGAAACTCACAATGTACATTACAGTCTCCAGGCTGTACCTCCAAGACACCAATATTTTAACAATTGATAAAAAATAAATCACTGTCTGTCCTACTGAGATTTCAGTATGAAGGTTAGGATCAAGATTTTTTTAAAGAGTAGTACAGCACACTATGAGTGCATATTTGCACCATTTGTTATTTGCTTTTGGGATATGAAGGAGCGTTTGTACCTGGAAACAGTGACACGTGAAATTAGACAACAACCAGACTGGATAAAGTAAACATTTAGACTACTAATCATCTCCTTAAACCCTTTTTGTGGTTTTTACTTAGACAGATCATGTCATGCTGACAGATAGAGGAGCCAGCATGTTTGCGGAGCACATTGGTATTCCAGTAGCTAATGATTTGGTGACTGAGCTGGAACGTAAAGACTGGGAACAAAGCAACAGCTATCCTGACGGTGTCAAAAAGTTTTTCAACACACAGTGGTGGGTAATTTTGTCAATTTTGTGCTCTTATGTTTTTAATAGCTCCTGATTTCTTGACACGTACTTCATTTCAGACAATGATTTTGATACAGTTAAAGTAAATTGTCAACAGCATCTTTGGAAGGCATTTGGTTTTACTTTTTCCTCTTTCAACTATCATGAAAAAATTTAATTATAGAAAATGCATTTTGTGACCTCTTTCCATCCGTGTGTTGTGGATTCTATACTGTGATAAATCATTATTTAGCCTTTACAATCTTTAAACTGTTTTATGATGCTGATTTTAATACAATGTTCGTATATAAACACATAATTAAAATATAGTGTTTTAAAAGTATAGAGATATAATTATATAAAATATAGATTTTATATAGATTTTTTTGGCATTGAGGCCATGGGCTGAGAATGGCAGCATATTGACGTGCTGGCCTGCACAGAACTCAGGTCATTCCCTGAGGCCTTCAGGCAGTGCAGTTAGAGCTGTGTGGGCTCCAGCAAAGCAGCCTTACCTGCCACCTCCACTTCCCCAGGCTGAGTGTTGAGTAGAAGTGGAGTCAGGGCCATGGCGGGGTGTAACCTCAGCCCCCAAGGGAGTCTGTAAAAATAGTGCTGTGGAGGTGCTAAGTGACAGTTGGCTGAGCTACTGCCTTTCATCCCGCCCCGCTGTGGCTTCATTATTGATAGCCTCCCTCTGCTCGCCCTGTACCACCATCACTGGGCTTTTTAACACACAGGCCCTAGAACTCAATTACCCTCCACCTGGTGATTACACAGCCTACCTCTGCCCTTCTGGTTTGGCCATGCTTTTATAATACAACAGTCACCCATGTGCCAGTACTTCCTATTCACAGCATATTGATCACACCAGATTAAAGTATTGGATAAATCTCAGTCATGTGATAAATAAGGGTACCACTATTCAGGATCAAAATACAGTTTGAAAAAAGTATGTATGAAAAAAGCATAGAATAGAGAGCAATGGTAAGAGTTAAAAAAATTAAAATTACATTCACTTTTTCCATTTCAATTATTACTTGCCTAGACTTAATGTGAGCTATGAGGTTGTTAATCAATTATATATATCAAGCATAGCATTAGTTCTGGCAGGTCACGCCAGTCAAGCTTGTGTCAACTGACTTTCAGCTGATCCACATCTACCAATAGGAATACGACACCTGTCACTACTTCCTTATATAAGGTTCATTCAGTATTATTCAGCAGCTTATCGCTTTGCTCAGGAGCTAATTGCCCTCCTCCATCCCCAGCTCCTCCTTTCGTCCACAGTCAGGACTTGGCATTCGATATTCCTAATTGAGTCAGACACTTTTATCCTGCATTATGTTGTTATGTTCAATTGTAATTAAGAACATTAATGATATCTGCTACATTTATGTTGGTTCTGTTTACCCTAATGGGGTTATTGCTGCTCTCCCTGCTCTTATCCATGCTAGGCATTTTTGACAATAGTGGTCCTGAAGCCGTCAGTCTGCTTAATTTAAGATTAATTAATTAATAATTTTTTTAATAATTGTGTTCAACAGAATTCCTGGAATTACCCATAATTCTGTAAAGAACTGTCCACCACCAATAATATAATTGCCCTAAAAGAATTCTTTAATGCCCGACCCCCTTCCAAAAAGCACTGAGAATTACATAATAGAGTAAGTCTCCCTACAATTTTGAATACTTATGTATTTGTATGTATAGGCATGTTTTGCAATAAATGTAAAACTTGCTTCTATATACACAATAAACGTCTTTAAATCAATAGTTATATTTATGCATCATTTTCGTTTTAGGTCAATTACAATGCTTCATGGGATTGTAGTTCTTTTCCTCATTAAAGCTGTTAAGGACACAGTCGTGTACCTTTGTTGTTGTTTTTTGTTGTTGTTTTTTTTACTTTTTGTCCAATTTTCAAATTGCTTCAAATCAAAGTTTGTAATGTTTTGATTTACCTCATAGCTGGTTCATGGTTTCTAACTCTTCAACAAAGACTTTTTAAAAATCCCATGGGAAAAATGAACAGGAAAAATGATTCCAGAACCAAGGCCACTGAAAAAGTGGCAGGGCACGGTTGCACTCCATTGCGAAAATAACTCCATCTCCATCTGCAATGGTCACGGAAATGGATAACCCTGCCCCAAACTCATGCCATTGGCTGAGCCAGTGTTTCTATGCTGTGGTCGTCAGTATTCCCAAACACTACAGGTTTTACACTTTTCGACAGAATCAACATTCAAATAGCTTACTGTTGTCTCTGAATATTAAGATGGGATAGGAGAGCGAATTTTAAAAATGGAAAACTGACACTAATTTATGGAAGTCCTTTTCTACCTCAGAATTTTTTTTAAATTAACTGTAACTTTGTAAGAATCAATATTACCATTTATTTCTTGTTTTAAGTTTCATCTCACAATTACCATTTTTATTTTTTACTCTCGGGCAGAAACAAGCTTCCATATACATCTGCTTTAAAAGCATACTGTCATTTAGTTTTAGTGATTAGTATATAGAAACTACATTTACAACAGAGTTAAGACAGCCACCTGTTCTTCTTAATGAGAACTCTAAACTTCAATATCTGCACACTTCATTAGGCTGTTTATGAATGTGTGAAGAGTTACTGCAAAACTCTGTGATCACTTTGAAGTGTGAAATACAGTCCACTGTCAAGCTGCTTTTAAAAGCTGTTTTTACCTAAACCGATGAGCAAGATCCAGGCATCGCCGGTGATTTAAAAGAGCAATCAAGCGCCTGCTAAAAATGATTGATGCCTGAAATCTGGAACCTGACAAGTGATTCTTCGCCAGCTGCTTCAGACAAATATTCTTCACGAGGACCATTTCTGGGGAGAACGACATGGAGGCTATTTTCTTTCATTTCACCTTGAACCACTGTCCTCCATGCGGCTTCAAACTCATAACACACACTTGTTTTCCACAGCACTGCTGCCTTAATCAGAGTTTCATGGGATATGAAACCTGTGAAATACTAGGGTCTCTGTTCATCCCACATTCCACTCTCTATTCTATTTCCTTTCAGGTGAAGAAAGGTAGACTGGAAGACTGATGTGCACATCATAAGAATTGTGTTTTGTTTTGTTTTTTTGAAGAACAATCCATACTTTTTCATGTGTGTCTACAGAAATATCACAACTGATACAACACTTTCTTTGCAATCTTTCTGAGTGTACTTTGCCAGACTAGCGGCTGTGATTCAGATTGGCGAAGGGCACTTATTCTCGCACTCTTCCTTTGTTGACAGGCAGATGATGAGTCAATTTTGGGTGTGCTGGCACTCTTAAAAGCATATATGAGGTTGTCATTAGCATCATCCCTTTCAAACATCACCAGTACAGTACAACGTGCAATTTTTTTTTTTTGACTGAAAATCACATAGGAAACAAAAGTAATTGCACAGAGGCTATATTTGGAAGGGAGTTTGAGGCTTTTATCCAGTAGATTATGACTGCAGCATATTAAATTGACAAAAGTCTGTCTGATGAAGAGGAACTAAGCTAGAGGCACATCTCTGAGTGTGATGAATAATAATGCGGTCTCTTCAAAGCACCTTTTGAAAATACCATGTCTGAGACCATAAAATTATAGATCTGAGGGGAAAAAAACTCTCAGAGCTAATCTTTATTATTCAAAGTTATAGAAGATTTTTTATAATTATAGGAGCCATGATACCATTGGAGCGGTGGCTCTGGACTCTTTGGGTAATGTGGCTTGCGCTACATCCACTGGAGAAATCAGAAACAAAATGGTGGGAAGAGTCAGAGATTCTCCTATTATAGGTGAGTCAGATCAGAGATAGAGGACAGAGATAATCTCAGTGTCACACCAATATTAATTTTGAAGCAGTGCCTCGGTTGAATGAGCCATTTTGGTTTGAAGGTGTCAGCTCTGATCAATACTCAATTGCCGAGGTAACACACATTAACGTCTGACTCTGTCTGTGCAGCTGTCTTTTCCTGTGCGATAAGGATCTGGTGGATATGCAGACAATAGAAGTGGAGCGGTCTCCTGTACTGGTCACAGAGAGTCTATTCTCAAAGTCACCTTAGCCAGATTAATCCTCTTTCATATGGAGCAAGGTATGAGACTTTTACACTAATCCTGATGAGTGTGTGAGTGTGCATGCATGCTCATTTACATTAAAGGGGTATCCATATTTGATTAATTTTGTGCCTAATCCATTTTTAATGGATTTATTTTATTTACTTAAAAAAAAAAGATTTAGTATCTTTCAAAAGTTTGGTATCAATAAGATAAACAAAATTAATACTTTAACACAGCAAGGATGCATTACATTGAATAAAAGTGACAGTAAAGGCATTTACAGTTAGAAAAAGATTCTGTATCAAATAAATGTTTTTTTTTAACTGTCTATTCATATGAATCCTAAATGTGTCATGGTTTACATAAAAAATATTAAGCAGCACAACTGTGTTCAGCATTGATAATAATAAGAAATGTTTCTTGAGCAGCAAATCAGCATATTAGAATGATTTCTGAAAGACTGGAGTAATGATGCTGAAAATTCAGCTTTGCCATCACAGCAACAAATTACATTTTAAAATATATTAGAATAGAAAACAGTTATTTTAAATTGAAATAATATTTCACAATAATATACATTAACACTCTTGTTGATTAAATAATTGCAGCCTTGGTGAGCATACGAGACTTCTTTCAAAATAATTCATTTGGTTATTTGATGCATAGCATGTCTGTTTTCTATAGATTTTTAGGTTAACATTTATATTAATGTATAAGAGAACATGTATATGTTAGGTCCTTGTCTTAACTAATTGGTCCTGAAGAGCATGTCACACTGATGTCAATTATAATACTTACAATAAATATAATACTTATTTTTCAAAGTCCAGTTAGATGCCAGGTTAATCAATATCACAGAATTACAAATTACATAAAATTGCATAAAAAGACAATTGTACAATCATGGCTAAATAAGATTAATTTTCAGTATTTTCTTGTATATTTTGAATGAAACATTCTCATCACCCATTTATTTTTTTTCCCACCTGCTATGTGTCTTCCATTTTGTTTGTGTTTTTACTCTTATGCAATATATTGTTTTTGCTTGCAAGGTGTCGATCATCTGTACTCCTTTACCATCACCCACATGTTGCTATTATTATCAAATTTTGTATAACCAAGCAGAATGAATGTCAAACCACACAAAAACCGAATGCTGCTGTTGCCAGTCATTTTAATTGGTGTGTGTGTGAGAGAGAGGCAGGAAGGATCGGATGTGCTGCCACAGTAGGCGGATGATAATGAGGTGTGTGTTTGTCTGAGGAAAGAGTGTGAAGGGTCAGCAGGCTATTGTTTGCTTTGGTATTCTGCGGTAATGATACTGCAAGCGCAACCACTCTGTTTTTATATACCAGTTCATTATTTTATCAATTATTGGGCTTGCCGTTAGGGTCTCAACTATTTGTTTAACATTTGTGTACTTGATCAGTGTGATCAATTAATTTAGATTATGTTTATTTTTAATAACAGTGCAAGTTATTGGTACCATTGGCACTCATAACCATTACTTATAATAATAATAATAATAAATATGATGAGCATAAAAGATTTATTAGTTGGCTAGAGGCCGAAGAGTCCCCAGTTAAAGGAAGAAAATGAATTCACTGCCCTGAAGAACAAGGAACAGGACACAAAAGAGAAGGATTAAAGAGAACTAAAAATAGACATTACATTTTTGCTAAACACAGTATTTCCATATAGAAAAACATGCAAACTCACAATGCAAATATTAAAGATAAAAATGTGAATAATTTAATTTTGTTGCAGTCTTTGTCTTGTTCCTTGGCTGATGTTTTCTATGTTGGACTACTAAGACTGTAATACTAAGACTGATGGAATGAGAAAACCATGAGAGCAACATATATTGTTCACTGTGTGACCTGGACAGGGACACTAAGGACACATACACTGACGGTGCAGTATTTCTTCATAAGGTACACAAAGATCAAATGCACTTGATTTTTTTTTTCTGTTGTGCTGGAAAATACCAGAAATATACAAGCACAATAGAAAATATTGTGAAGTTGAATGAACCTATGTACACAACCTTTTAAATGTTTGGTGTTGGTAAGTTTTGTTTTTTATGTTTTTGATGCTCACCAATCAAAAATACATTAAAACAGTGATATTGTGAAATATTATTGAAATTTATAATTGTTTTCTATGTTAATGCTTTAAAATATAATTGTGATGGCAAAGCTGAATTTTCAGCAGTATTACTCCAGACGAGTCACATGATCCTTCAGAAATCATTCTAATATGCGGATTTGCTGCTCCAGAAACATTTCTATTATCACGGTTGAAAACAGTTGTGCTGCTTAAAAATTTGTGGAAAAGTTTTTGATGAACAGAAAGCTCAAAGAACAGCATTTATTTGAACTAGACTTTTTGTAACGATGTAAAATACTGTCACTTTTGAGCAATTTAATGCATCCTGGCTGAATAAATGTATTAAGGGTGGACAATGGTAGTAACAGGTGATGCCAGATTAATAGATGTGTACGGCCTTATATAACCTTAACGATTTTAGAATCTCTATCATTTTATTTATGCAGTTCACATTGTGCAACACTGACCGGAAATGCTTCTGACGAAGTACTGTAAAAATACATGGTCAACTGATGGCAGCCAGATAAACTGACTGCTAACGGTATCACATACTTGAGCGTTTCCTTTGTGAAATGCAGGGAAATCAGCCACAGCCGCCGCCTCACTTCAGTACATGGGAGAGAGAGTGAAGGGATGCGGAGGAGCTATTGTTGTGTCCTCCACAGGGGACTGGGCCGCCAGCTTCACCACACCACGCATGGCTTGGGCCTCCATTAAAGAGGACGTCCTGCACTACGGGTTAAATCCCAAAGAAGATTTCACAGAGAGGCTGAAATGATAACATTATACTTTAATTGTATTTTCATTCATTATTATGAATTTCTTAAATCTTTCAGCTAGTTAATTTATTTTGCTAGATTCTATCAGTTTCTATGTGATTAACTGTATCCTTTATACAACAGCACAACTGTGTTCAGCATTGATAATAATAAGAAATGTTTCTTGAGCAGCAAATCAGCATATTAGAATGATTTCTGAAAGACTGGAGTAATGATGCTGAAAATTCAGCTTTGCCATCACAGCAACAAATTACATTTTAAAATATATTAGAATAGAAAACAGTTATTTTAAATTGAAATAATATTTCACAATAATATACATTAACGCTCTTGTTGATTAAATAATTGCAGCCTTGGTGAGCATACGAGACTTCTTTCAAAATAATTCATTTGGTTATTTGATGCATAGCATGTCTGTTTTCTATAGATTTTTAGGTTAACATTTATATTAATGTATAAGAGAACATGTATATGTTAGGTCCTTGTCTTAACTAATTGGTCCTGAAGAGCATGTCACACTGATGTCAATTATAATACTTACAATAAATATAATACTTATTTTTCAAAGTCCAGTTAGATGCCAGGTTAATCAATATCACAGAATTACAAATTACATAAAATTGCATAAAAAGACAATTGTACAATCATGGCTAAATAAGATTAATTTTCAGTATTTTCTTGTATATTTTGAATGAAACATTCTCATCACCCATTTATTTTTTTTCCCACCTGCTATGTGTCTTCCATTTTGTTTGTGTTTTTACTCTTATGCAATATATTGTTTTTGCTTGCAAGGTGTCGATCATCTGTACTCCTTTACCATCACCCACATGTTGCTATTATTATCAAATTTTGTATAACCAAGCAGAATGAATGTCAAACCACACAAAAACCGAATGCTGCTGTTGCCAGTCATTTTAATTGGTGTGTGTGTGAGAGAGAGGCAGGAAGGATCGGATGTGCTGCCACAGTAGGCGGATGATAATGAGGTGTGTGTTTGTCTGAGGAAAGAGTGTGAAGGGTCAGCAGGCTATTGTTTGCTTTGGTATTCTGCGGTAATGATACTGCAAGCGCAACCACTCTGTTTTTATATACCAGTTCATTATTTTATCAATTATTGGGCTTGCCGTTAGGGTCTCAACTATTTGTTTAACATTTGTGTACTTGATCAGTGTGATCAATTAATTTAGATTATGTTTATTTTTAATAACAGTGCAAGTTATTGGTACCATTGGCACTCATAACCATTACTTATAATAATAATAATAATAAATATGATGAGCATAAAAGATTTATTAGTTGGCTAGAGGCCGAAGAGTCCCCAGTTAAAGGAAGAAAATGAATTCACTGCCCTGAAGAACAAGGAACAGGACACAAAAGAGAAGGATTAAAGAGAACTAAAAATAGACATTACATTTTTGCTAAACACAGTATTTCCATATAGAAAAACATGCAAACTCACAATGCAAATATTAAAGATAAAAATGTGAATAATTTAATTTTGTTGCAGTCTTTGTCTTGTTCCTTGGCTGATGTTTTCTATGTTGGACTACTAAGACTGTAATACTAAGACTGATGGAATGAGAAAACCATGAGAGCAACATATATTGTTCACTGTGTGACCTGGACAGGGACACTAAGGACACATACACTGACGGTGCAGTATTTCTTCATAAGGTACACAAAGATCAAATGCACTTGATTTTTTTTTCTGTTGTGCTGGAAAATACCAGAAATATACAAGCACAATAGAAAATATTGTGAAGTTGAATGAACCTATGTACACAACCTTTTAAATGTTTGGTGTTGGTAAGTTTTGTTTTTTATGTTTTTGATGCTCACCAATCAAAAATACATTAAAACAGTGATATTGTGAAATATTATTGAAATTTATAATTGTTTTCTATGTTAATGCTTTAAAATATAATTGTGATGGCAAAGCTGAATTTTCAGCAGTATTACTCCAGACGAGTCACATGATCCTTCAGAAATCATTCTAATATGCGGATTTGCTGCTCCAGAAACATTTCTATTATCACGGTTGAAAACAGTTGTGCTGCTTAAAAATTTGTGGAAAAGTTTTTGATGAACAGAAAGCTCAAAGAACAGCATTTATTTGAACTAGACTTTTTGTAACGATGTAAAATACTGTCACTTTTGAGCAATTTAATGCATCCTGGCTGAATAAATGTATTAAGGGTGGACAATGGTAGTAACAGGTGATGCCAGATTAATAGATGTGTACGGCCTTATATAACCTTAACGATTTTAGAATCTCTATCATTTTATTTATGCAGTTCACATTGTGCAACTCTAACCGGAAATGTTTCTGAGGAAGTACAGCAAAAATACATGGTCAGCTGTTGCCAGCCAGATAAACTTCTACTGCTAACTTTGCTGACACTGTCACATACTTGAGTGTTTTCTTTGTGAAATGCAGGGAAATCAGCCACAGCCGCCGCCTCACTTCAGTACATGGGAGAGAGAGTGAAGGGATGCGGAGGAGCTATTGTTGTGTCCTCCACAGGGGACTGGGCCGCCAGCTTCACCACACCACGCATGGCTTGGGCCTCCATTAAAGAGGACGTCCTGCACTACGGGTAAAATCCCAAATAAGATTTTACAGAGATGCTGAAATTATAACATTACATTTTAACTGTATTTTAATTTATGTTATTTTGAATTTCTTGAGGCTTTCAGCTAGTTCATTCATTCATTTTGCTAGATTCTATCAGTTTGTCCTATGTGATTAATTGTAGCCTTTATACAAACCTAAAAGTTATTTAACATAAGTAGTAATGAGCTGTTTCTTGTACCAAGACAGAAAACAAATACTCCTTTCTGCATGTTCTGATCATTTTGATCAACAATTAATGAATAAAGATTAATTGATTTAAAAAATGTTGTTTAGCAGATGAAAACATTTTACATTTTAGTGACATTTAGCTAGAGTACATACAGTACATAACATTTATGTAGGTTGTCCTGTTTCCTCACTGAACAAACAATAGAAACAATATGGTGTCGAGTGATTAAATGAAAAATTCTCAAAGAGTTCTGATAAGCTTAACCCACTATTAATTAATAATGATAAGAGTTAACTAATTAGCATTAGTTAATGGTAGTTAATGGTAATACATCATAAACTGTCTTCAGTATAGGAAGACAGATGGAAAATATAACAGAAATATACTGTATGATGGCAAAAATCAACATATTAAATTAACCAAATACACCTGTTTTCACTACATTTGTGGAATTCAACTTAAAATTAATCTTACCCCTTCATGTCTTCAGTCGCTTCATTTCAGGTTTTTATGTGAAGGCTAATTGGTGGATCTGGAAGATAAAATGACTATATTCATGTTTCTTCAAAAAAAGATCACAATGTTCCTGCTGATTTGTGAAAAATATCCTCAAATTTTTGTTTGCTTCTCTTTTGTTTGTGAATAGAGCAGTGATGATATTATAAAATGGAAATGAAGGAACGCTGTTAAAATATTCCAGCCATGGGAATTGATGGATGAATAATTATGTTCTGAAAGTTTAATTCTTTATTAGGAAAAGAAAAGTTTTTGCAACTGTTCCTAGTTAGTGTCTCCTTAGTTGCCCTCCTCTCATTTATTTATTTATTTCATTTTGTTTCAAATTAAGGACAGGCTGTGTACTGTATATATGAAGACAAATATGCTATACAGAGTAAGTTCACACACTTTTAACAATTAAAAATTGTCAAAAGCTTCTAAGATTTGTGTGTCCTTGTAATATTTCTTCTGCATTATAAAACAGTAAAACCCATTGTAGTTGAAACCATGCAGCAGAGCAAAGACGAGGAGGAATCTGAGAGTTTTCTGCCTCTCCAAAAAGGCAAAAAAATTAAATAAAATTCTCTCCACTTTTTATTGCAGAGGGAGCGGATTATTCAATAGTGATTCCTGAACCCCTGCTGAGCACAGCACCTCTACAGCAATTAACATTTTGACATTTTTGATCAATCACCCAGACTACAAAAGAAAAAAATAAATAATTAAGTAAAGATTATTAGCCTGGATGCATTCAGTGTATTTGATCAGTGCAGTGCCGTAAGATCAAAGTATGGAGAGTCGACATTACAACATCTACCCAGCACCATGAAACAAGTGTGCTTCCTCAACTGAAAAAGATAAACATTATGCAGAGAGCAACCCCTCTGAGCTTTAAATGAACAATTCGGACTCAAGCGGAGCTCAAGTAGGTCAGTATTTGGAATTCCTTGTTAAAACTTAACAAGTCAACATTTTGCTGAGCTGCTGAGACATTCCAAGCTGTTCCGTTAACTTGAGACTTGATTAAGCTTTATGTAAGCATAAGATATTACCTTTTTACATTTAATTATTATTTTTAATAAAATTTTGAATATGTTTAGGGCATAAAACACCACTAAAAATATTGTCCTTTCTAAAAACACCACAGGCTTCTGTAGAATCTAGAATTTCCTCTATTGCAAATGAGCAAAAAAAGAAAAGTAATCTTTGACTACTGTTAGTGAATGCTGTTAAACATTTACATTTAGTCAGTTTATACATAACATTTATACTGGTTGTCCCCTACTGTTTCAACAGAATCCTCAGTGAACAAATATAAACACAATTGGTGTTAAATGACTAAATTAAACAAACAGAATTTACCACCTGTGGTTGGGGAAAATTAGATGCTAGTTGTTTCCGTGTCACATAATCAGCGTCCTACTGAGTGTTTTCCTACTCATTTCAATTTACCTTTTCAAGTGTGCAGTAGGTTAATTGCAAACATCTGGGACTGACAGCATCACACTTACCTTGTGTTTATGCTTCACTGGGATCATGTTGCTCCTTATTGTGTAAATGTATCATTGTTTTTTGAAAGTGTTATTTTTTCTGTTAGCTTCTAATTTGTGTTTCATGACAAGTTTTCACGTCTTGACAGAGGCGGTCAGATGAGATTGTTTTTAAACGCAGGAGGATATTCCTTTGTCTGTGCTGCTCCCTAGTGGCATTACGTGGTATTGCAATGAATGTATTAAATTAGGTGGAGTGTGGGGCAAGTTATAATTAGTTGATCTGGAATATGGCCTGGTATCCAAAACCATCTAAGGTTTTTTTTTTTTTTTTTACATTGTGACATTGACTGTGTCAAAGCAACTGCATGTGTGTTGTTGTTTTTTTCTCTTGAAAAATTATTTCAGACTTCTAATACAGCAAAATTGACTTTGTTTAGTTTTTTCCCATGCTCCCCACAAACATCTGTTCTGGGAGTGTAAGTGAGCGGGTACAAAAACAAATCCAAACGACAGCAACAAATGCACGTGTACTAGTCAGTGAATTCCACTCACTTAAGAGTCTCCAAACAAAGTCGAAAAAATACACAAGGCTATACATACAGCTGCTTTTTTCCTTAGTACAAAAAGATCAGCTTTTCTTGCTTCCATTAATTATAGGTATGTTTTGAACTGGTGAGAAGATATGGGGTTTAAACTGATATTTTTCACTGTTACTTCATCAAACTGACTGTGTAGCATTTGCACAGGCCATGCACATCACCACAACAAACATAAGTCAGTCAAAAGCTGTAATATTGTTTATTAAATATTGCATAATGAGGAAATCACAGCAGTAACTAGTGTTTTAAATTCATTGTAATTGTAACAGCACTGCAAATAAACAAAAACAAACAAAAAATGCAAAATTCGCCTCTGCATACAGACCACAAAGTAATAATTATACATAAAACATCTCAGGTGTCATCTCACACTCTTGAATAACTCATGTGATTGCAGCAATGAACTTGGTAATTGTCTCCTGTGACACACTAAAACTTACTTTGAAAAGTCCTTAAAAAGTAACGTGTTTACCTCAAGGCAATAATAATAATAATAAAACAAAATAAAATAAAACGAGGCACAGTTCAATGAAGCCATGAGACAGAAAGGCATTTCAATCCCAACAGTGTCAGAATCACTCCTTCAATCATATGAGACGGCCTGTGTTAAGCAAATCTCTGTGCTTTCCTAATATTCTTCATTTAATATAAACTGTAATATTCATAGAGGTTGCTGCAACTTCGGTCACTTTCATTCATTTTACTTTACATATTTACAACTCTGACAGAACAGGAAAACTGTGAATTTTAACTGTGTTCACATCCAAGTTAAAAGTTTCTCAGAGCACTACATTCAGATATGCTACGCTATCTTATAACGAACGGTCTTGAAACACATTTTTAAGTTCATATTCAATAGAGATCACATATACGTATTTTAATTTCTTGTTGATCTTCTATGCGATTACTTATTGACAAAGGTTTTAGCAACAACCACTGGTTTAAAAAAATGAAAAATATATTATCTAGATACTTTAAATGACTCATTTCTGTCCAAGTGATCTTTTCCTAATTCTCGTTTTGAATTGGACAGAAGGCTGGTAAGCGTAAGAGTCTCAGACGACCCTCATGCTCTCTAGCAGCACGTTCTCTGGCATTAAATGGAATGGACCGTATATAACTAAAGGGGAGATTCAAAAAGACACAATTTCATCTTCAAATTTGCAATTCTACCTCTTAAAAAAGGAAGCAAAAGCAAATCTACAACCTGGAGTAGATGTGAACTACATTCAGTTAAGGAAGACCACAAGCTAATCAATGGAGACTACCTAACTAAATGAACACAACAGTCCTCATGTAGCATCCTCTACTGTGAATGGCACTTTGAAAATGAGGTACGGCAATCTTATATGGATCATCGATTCCCAACATGCAACCATATTACCAGGCATAACACTATGTAAATGTCACTGTCAAATGGTACCTGGTTAAGATGTTATCAAGGCTTGTTAACAGAGGTAAATACTGCACCTCAGACTCGTAATACACTCTTCAGAACAACCAATTCAAAAATGGATGACTGAAAGAGCAAAATATGCATTACTCAGGCAAATAAATATTTGTTGTATGTTTTGAGGCAAAGCATCTAAATATGTTCAGATCTGTTTAGTGCGGTTTAGTTGTAGCCCTTCACCTCACAACTTTACATAGCGCTTAAAGCTTGATTCTTTTTTGTTACCAAATAAAAAGCTTGGTAGATCCGGAGTTTCTAGAGTTGGTCACTCCATCGTAATCTTTTGAACAGAAATTTGGTAATACTTTACAATAAGGTTTCATTTGTTAACAATAGTTGCTCACGGTTAGTTCATGTTAACTAATGCATTAAAATAAATAATAATAATAATTTGTCACATTTATATAGCGCTTTTCTCTAAACTCCTAAACACACCTACTGTTTTCAAGGGACATCCTGGGACTTTTTATGACCACACAGAGTCAGGACCTCGGTTTAACATCTCATCCAATTAACAAATGTTAACAAATCAGACCATACTGTAAAGTGTTAATTTTCTATGTCAATAAAATCTGAGCATACAGTAAGTGCTGTGACGTTTTCCTCCTTAACATGACCAACACTGATTTACATCATTTTGATGTCTACAAATGGCTTTGCTTGGATTTGCAAATACTAATGTTGTCTCATCCATTGAGCCCCCATTGAGAAATTTACATCATACTCTTCATGAGAGTATGATAAAAAAAAAAAAGTTCCATAAATATGCATTTTTTTTTACACAATGGGAGTGTAAATTGAAATTGAAACACTTTTTTAAATGGCTAAACTTAACTTCTATGATCCTTTTACAGCTTCTCTGACCATTAACCCTTAATACAGACATCTTCAGGTGCTTTAAATACACTGTCATCTCTAATGGTAACACTCCAAGTCCATCAAACATTTATAGCAAAAATAAATGGTAGAATTTCATGTTTTTCAGTAATGTCAGGTATGTGATGAAGTTGTACTTCAGTACAATTCACAGCTGTAAACTTAAACACCTTTTCCAAGTCTGATATATTTTATATTAATGGCTTATAGCTGAGTCTGAGCATTTTCAAAAAGCAAAAACAATGCATTCTTCTAAATCCTTCAACAAATGCTGCCACTGTAGTACAGTTGAACCGCATGTTCTTTGCTGACATGCCGCACACCTAACTGATCACATACCTGGACATTCATCTGGGAAAGACCAAATTTTGGAGGGGAGAAAAAGTCTTCATTTGACGTCAACAGGTAGAGTGTCCCAAACGGATCAAGCCGCTTAAGCATAGTTAGAATCTCTTCATACAAACCGTCATTTCTTCAAATGTATCATGTCACAAATGAACAGCTTTCACATAATTTCCTGGGAAAGTGCCGAACTGTTTTGTCCTCTTGGATGTACCTGCACAGAGAAGCAAATACATAAGAGTCTGGTACAAATAAAAGGAAAACATACAACTCCAGAACGACAGAGCTCTAAAATCTTGGTTAAAATGGATTGATTCAGTAGCACTGTAGATTCGTATATATATATATATATATATATATATGGATTTAGTATGGGAGAGATGACTTAATGGAGAATCAATACAATGATCAATGACACATACCCACAAACCAGCCATCATCACATTTCTCCATGACACTGACCAGGTCTCCTTCCTGCAGCTCCAACTCGTCCTCATTCTGAGGCATGTAACTGTACAGAGCCTGGAATCTACAACAGAACACAACACATCATTACACATAGAAAGAGAGGGTGCAGGAAACTACTGCACAAATCACACTATTGACCAAATGTAAAGGCTTGTTTAGCTGAAAAAGAAATAGTTGATGGGCTTAAATTAAAAATGCTGCACACAGTTTTTTCTGTCTGACACATATATATAATGTCACATGGCACACTTGGCAGAGCACCATGTTAAGTAGAGTTCACTGTGCCTGCAGTCAGACAGCTCATAAAAAGTTGACACTCCACAGTTACATGAAATACAGTTATGTGTACTGTATGAATGCTTAATAGATATCTACCTAAAACAAGGCTAAATAAATTTGTCGTCACTAGCACTTTTGTTATAAAAATAAATATAAAATATAATATAAAAATTAATTGTTTTTGAGCAGCAAATCAGCATATTAGAATGATTTCTGAATGATCATGTGACACTGAAGACTGGAGTAATGATGCTAAAATTTCAGCTTTGCCATTACAGGAATAAATTACATTTTAATAAATATTTAAACCGAAAACTGTTATTTTAAATTGTAATAATATTTCACAATATTACTGTTCATTACTGATTTTTGATCAAATAAATGCACCCTTGGTGAGCAAAACTATATTTCAATCCTTTTGCGTTCTCTCAAAAAAAAACTTTTGCATTCTCTTGGGAAATTTTGAGTTCGCTTGCAAAACTTGTGATGGAAATAATATGAGGTCATAGGAAACTCTATATTTCAGTGCTTTTAGTGAGTGAAGGAAAAGTTTCTCAGGGGAACACAATAATTTTACAAGAGAACGCAAATGCTTTGCAAGAAAACGCACAGGTGTTGCAAGTGAACGCAAAAGCATTAATACATCATTTTTCCTCCTGTTTTTTTCATTACCATGTGCCCTTGGGGGCTCCGTACATAAAAGACTTCTTTAAAAAAAAAAAATCCCACCCCGGACTTTGGAACAGTACTATATATAATTTAACTAACTTAATTTCTTAAATTTAACAACTTTGTTGTTTATAAAATAAATCACTTGAGGTCATCATTTCGTTTTTATTTGCAAACTGTTGTTAAACTGTTACTACTTATACTTTTTTCACTACCTATTATACCTATAAAAGTGTGCCTTAAATGCGAGCTTGTAGAAAAAAAAAATACATTTTATGGTCAAAAAGTATGACTTGAAGACTATATTTTAATATTTAGCATAATTCAAAACTCTGAATTTTTATAATAGCCCATCTGTAAATATGGTTTAACAGTGCTCTTGAGAGTTCCTGAGGGATGTCCCATTTTTAAGGTGCAGGTCAGTGAAAACTACAGGTGCATGGACACAAAAACACACTGAGGTAGATCATACTTACATCCCACAGCTCATGCGTCCAGCCTCGGGACTGCTGCTCTGGGACAGGGGTTGCTGGGAAATGATGAGAGAGTGTTTACTGGGAGGAGGCAGGAGTCGGTGGGCGGAGTCTATAGGGCGTGACAAAGTGCTGCAGTACCTCACTGAGGTCTCTGCAATATTCATGATCTCATTACACACTGCCTCCTATTGGTGGAAGAGGGTCGGCCCGATAGGTGGCCACAAACCAGGAAGTAGGGTCAGTCATTCAGATGGAAAATTGAGTTTGAGGAAGGGGTGGTGTGGTTAGAGAAGATAGTAACAGGGCAGAAAGAAGGGAATGTCCATTAATACCAGGAAAGCCGGAAAGGATGGTAGTGTCCAGAGGATAAGCATGGAAGAGTAAGACAACAGAGTGAGTGCATGAGGAAGGAGCGAAACATATGCCACAATCATGTAGGACAGGCTTACTTGCAGGGTACAGAGATTTGTCATGCATTATATGGGTGAGTTTCAGGATTAGACATCAAATAAAATAAAGATGAGCCTTGTGATTGACTGTGATGTGTTTCATAAAGATGAATCAAAACAGAATATGAAACATATTCATATTCATCATTCATATTCAATCAATATAGATGACATCAAGAAAGAAGTATGGAGCAGTATGTGCATCTAAGAGTAATTAAAACCTCTTGAAAGTTAATTTACCGTGAATGAATTGGCATTCATGTTGTTGTCTTGGATGTCAAACAGCATGACAGGACTTCTTGAAGATCGCCCATAATATTCTAGGAGTAATGATGCTAAAATTTCAGCTTTGCCATTACAGGAATAAATTACATTTTAATAAATATTTAAACCGAAAACTGTTATTTTAAATTGTAATAATATTTCACAATATTACTGTTCATTACTGATTTTTGATCAAATAAATGCACCCTTGGTGAGCAAAACTATATTTCAATGCTTTTGCGTTCTCTCAAAAAAAAACTTTTGCATTCTCTTGGGAAATTTTGAGTTCGCTTGCAAAACTTGTGATGGAAATAATATGAGGTCATAGGAAACTCTATATTTCAGTGCTTTTAGTGAGTGAAGGAAAAGTTTCTCAGGGGAACACAATAATTTTACAAGAGAACGCAAATGCTTTGCAAGAAAACGCACAGGTGTTGCAAGTGAACGCAAAAGCATTAATACATCATTTTTCCTCCTGTTTTTTTCATTACCATGTGCCCTTGGGGGCTCCGTACATAAAAGACTTCTTTAAAAAAAAAAAATCCCACCCCGGACTTTGGAACAGTACTATATATAATTTAACTAACTTAATTTCTTAAATTTAACAACTTTGTTGTTTATAAAATAAATCACTTGAGGTCATCATTTCGTTTTTATTTGCAAACTGTTGTTAAACTGTTACTACTTATACTTTTTTCACTACCTATTATACCTATAAAAGTGTGCCTTAAATGCGAGCTTGTAGAAAAAAAATACATTTTATGGTCCAAAAGTATGACTTGAAGACTATATTTTAATATTTAGCATAATTCAAAACTCTGAATTTTTATAATAGCCCATCTGTAAATATGGTTTAACAGTGCTCTTGAGAGTTCCTGAGGGATGTCCCATTTTTAAGGTGCAGGTCAGTGAAAACTACAGGTGCATGGACACAAAAACACACTGAGGTAGATCATACTTACATCCCACAGCTCATGCGTCCAGCCTCGGGACTGCTGCTCTGGGACAGGGGTTGCTGGGAAATGATGAGAGAGTGTTTACTGGGAGGAGGCAGGAGTCGGTGGGCGGAGTCTATAGGGCGTGACAAAGTGCTGCAGTACCTCACTGAGGTCTCTGCAATATTCATGATCTCATTACACACTGCCTCCTATTGGTGGAAGAGGGTCGGCCCGATAGGTGGCCACAAACCAGGAAGTAGGGTCAGTCATTCAGATGGAAAATTGAGTTTGAGGAAGGGGTGGTGTGGTTAGAGAAGATAGTAACAGGGCAGAAAGAAGGGAATGTCCATTAATACCAGGAAAGCCGGAAAGGATGGTAGTGTCCAGAGGATAAGCATGGAAGAGTAAGACAACAGAGTGAGTGCATGAGGAAGGAGCGAAACATATGCCACAATCATGTAGGACAGGCTTACTTGCAGGGTACAGAGATTTGTCATGCATTATATGGGTGAGTTTCAGGATTAGACATCAAATAAAATAAAGATGAGCCTTGTGATTGACTGTGATGTGTTTCATAAAGATGAATCAAAACAGAATATGAAACATATTCATATTCATCATTCATATTCAATCAATATAGATGACATCAAGAAAGAAGTATGGAGCAGTATGTGCATCTAAGAGTAATTAAAACCTCTTGAAAGTTAATTTACCGTGAATGAATTGGCATTCATGTTGTTGTCTTGGATGTCAAACAGCATGACAGGACTTCTTGAAGATCGCCCATAATATTCTACATCATTTCTTAATGGCTGTGAAAAAAAAAAAAGTGAATCAAATTAAACATATATCATATATGTGTGTGTGTGTGTGCACAACGGTTCATGTTCATCCATGAGGTTTGGGTTCAAATTTGAAATTTGCACAAAGAGCAGTATGGTTGCCATTTGATCAGTCCGTTATTATTTGCAGAGGACTGCAGTACAACCTTACAGTACATTAAACACATAAGGGACTGGAAAACGACTGAGTTAGTAGCAGTCACCACATTTCCTATAAAACTTCAATCAAACATTGAAACAGCGTGACATCATGCTGGGATGCTCCCTCTAGTGGAAAAAGTCTTTAGAATAGCTTATATTTCTAGTGTACCTAGCTCACACACTAACGTTCACAAGCCGCACCGGTAAGACTTTTTTGTGTTTTTTAAATAAGTCACCAAGGCTGCATTTATTTGATCATAAATACTGTAAATTGGTAATATTGTTAAATATATTACAATCTAAAATAACTATTCTATTTTCATATCTTTTAAAATGTAATTTATTCCTGTGATGGCAAAGCAGCATTTATTTAAAATGGAAATATTTTGTAACAATGTAAAAGTTTCTTGGCAGTTTAAATCAATTTAATGCCTCCTTGCTCAATAAAAGTATTAATTTCTTTTAAAAATCTTACTGGCCACAAACTGTACAGCAGTGTACAGTTGAACATATATTTTTATAACCTAATACAGTACATATTTGTCATTTGAACACAGATACAAAATACAAGAATTATTCAAACAATTACACAGAATTAACCACCACTATTAATATAAATCAGGGCTGTCAATAAATATTTTTTTTTCTGATTAACTACATTATATGCTTAAATCAATCAGAATACATCACATATATCAATATTTGCTTTAAAAAAGCCTCCAAATAAGTCATTAATTAGACAAATACAGAAAGTGCCTTTAGAAGTCAAAATATTATTTGTTCTTATCAAAGAATTTAACCCTTTCACTGGCCTGACAATCCATTTTACAATCTAAATTGGTCAAACTGCCATTAGATTTAGGGGTCCTTTATTCTTTTAAATGTGCCATTTGAGTTTGACATGGTAAAATACACACTCTTATCTATAGATCTGTATCAAACATGCATGATTTCATAATGGGCAACAAACAAAAAAATATCAACATCCAAGCTTCATGCTAATTGTTAGAGTTTCATGCAACAGTTCCTTTTCATTTGTGTTTCTCTCAATAGCGTGGAAGCCTCAAAAGTGTGATTGAAACTCATTAGCATAACCAGATGGGTCAGATATAATTTCCTATTTCAGCATGTTAGATCTACAACTTGTGCCAATGGAAACAGTGACCTCCCGTGAGCTCAGGCACCGTATGATGGGCATCTTTAACAAACACACCACACCATGCAGAAGATACCTCTGCTGGGCTATTGTTCCTGCTGTAAAGAGCCTTGCGGAGGCTGCCAGCCCTGTCTATTTCAGCCCCATCCCCTTCCTGGAACTCCTGATCCAGCCTGTTGCCCCCAGTAAGCCAATAACCAGATGGGTCAGACATAATTTCCTATTTCAGCATGTTAGATCTACAACTTGTGCCAATGGAAACAGTGTCCTCCCGTGAGCTCAGGCACCGTATGATGGGCATCTTTAACAAACACACCACACCATGCAGAAGATACCTCTGCTGGGCTATTGTTCCTGCTGTAAAGAGCCTTGCGGAGGCTGCCAGCCCTGTCTATTTCAGCCCCATCCCCTTCCTGGAACTCCTGATCCAGCCTGTTGCCCCCAGTAAGCCAACCCTCAAGCCCAGCACCCCCCCGCCCACAGTGAGCGAAATCCACTCATTGGAGACGGCGTGGACTTCAGGGGAGATCGAGCGGCGGGGAGACCGCGGGAGAGGGAGAGGGGAGGTGGTGAGCCGATTACGAATAGGCTTTTTGGAGGGCAAGGCCGGGTGTCAGGAGAAATGAGAGGAAACAATAAAGAGGAAGGAGGAAATGGAGAGGTGAAACAGTGAGAACAACTGTACGAGATAATAAATAAAAACGAATGGGAAAATGAAAACAATTCACATGAGTTGAAAAAAAATTATCCAAGGGCCAAGGATTTTGTCGGGTCTTTACCTGTGGAGAGGCATTAGTGCTCCGATAAGGTGACTGGCTGATAGGGGGATCAGGGTAGTTCACTCCATTTTTCACTCGGGGTCTCTTGTGCACCTCTATATAGGTGACAGGGAAGATACCCTGCCGGTTAGTGCCAGAAATTTTGCCTTCATACCAGTTCTCATCTACTCTGCGAATCAGTGTAATACGCTCCCCCTACAGGTAGACAAAAGATTTGGAATTAGTTCCTGCAGAGATCACATAGACAACACACACATATTTATTTATTTATGCGTTAAATTTCTGTCAAAATTGACAGTGAAGACATTTATGATTTTACAGAAGATTTATATTTCAAATAAATGCTGTTCTTTTGAACTTTCTATTTTTAAGAATTTTTTAAATAATGTATCACAGTTTCCTCACAAAAATACTAAAGGGGTCATATGATGCTTTTTTAAAGATCATTATTTTGTGTATTTGGTGTAACAGAATATGTTGACATGCTTTAATGTTCAAAAAACACATTATTTTTCAAATACTGTACATTATTGTAGGTCCTCTATGCCCTGCCTCTCTCAAACGCTTACAAGATACATTTGTTGTAGAATAACGTTTTTTTTTTTGTTTTTTCAGAGAACATTTTATTTAAAGTTTCTTTTTACTGTTTTATGATCAAACCTCAATCAATTTGTCAGTGGGGCAGAAAATTCTACTTAATTTCAAAATATACTCTTTGAAAACAAGTCATACTATCAATTTTTCTTCACAAACAAAATAATCTTGTTTTAAGGATGTTTACATGTTGTTCATGGAAAACAACAAAGATAATGTGGTCTGTCAAAATAAAAGGATGCATGCATCAAGAAAAAAAAAAATATGGTAAAAATACAAAACATTCAGACATTCTTTTCAAAAATGACTAGTGTAATATGTATAATGCAGTTCTGGCAATCAAAACTTAAGACACAAACATGTAATAAAAAAAAATGGTCCAGACGCTTAAACAGAGTAAAAACAGACTCATGTTTGGGTTACACTATTTTGTGGAATTTGACTTTTTTATTTCAGATCAAATCTGTGAAGCTGTAATTTACAAGGCTTTGCAGTAAGATGCTATTTCTATGGGTAAGAAACACTGTTAAATGTCTGTTTAATGTACATACTGCATCTGTTCAAGAATAACATGGGAGGCCTGAATATTTTCTCAAGCTGACAAGAAGCTAAATGACAAGTCGGTCAGAATCCAGTACCAAAATTCCTTATCATTATGAGTGCAACAGTCATTTTACACAAGTAAAAATTCTATTCATTTTGCTCATAGAGAACATTAACTTTAATTATTATTTAGAATATTTTACAATAAACCTAAAATATAGCATATAATCTATGACTATAAGTCAAAGTTTAATATTATACTACTGTTTATGATTCAATTACATAATTCTCAGTGTTTCATGGGATGCATAGATCATTCCCTTACAAAACAACTTAAGTACCTTCTTGTACCTTTGTCATTTTGTCTGAATTTCAAATACATTTTTGCTTAAAATAAAAACTTAGCTTAAACTTTATTAAAGAAATCCCTTTGGAAAAATTTTTTTTTAAAAGTCTGGTCTTGGTTTGTTGCTAATTCTGGACAATATATTAAAAAGACAATGAAAAAAATGAAAGTCTGAGAATAAAAAAAAAAGTGACATGACTTTTACACTACACAACAGAAATGGATAATATGCCAATCTGGTTACAAACCACACAAAGTCGGCACACAGCAGAAATGGAAAAAGTAAAGTCACTCTGTGATGACAGAGGAGCAGACAGGAGAAAGAAAGGCTGGAGGAAGATGAGTGATCACACACAGAATCATGCCCGAACATGAGTGTGGACAATCTGACACTCATGACACTCTCATTATAGCCACCTTCAGAGTGATCTTTACTGGCTTCTGAGCCCTCCACATCCATGAGGTCATCCGAGTTGCACCCCTCACAGGGAGAGCTCTCTCCATTACTGAGCCTCTCCAGCACCTCCAAAGAGGACAGGCGTTGGGGAATCATAGGCTTCAGCTTGGCCGAGATGAGATCTCCGGTCATGGGCTTCATGGCAGAGAGTGCACAAGTCTTTATGGCCTGTTGACTGTGTAGGGACCTCCTTAAGCAGAAAGGGGCTGGTCCCATCAGAAGCAAGTTCCTTGGGGGAGTGCACTTCTTCTCCTGCTGCTGGGTGTTGGCCTGTTGGCGCTCGTGCCTGAGAATTGTGGTGAACCGTGTGTAGGAGGCCGGGCAGGTGCCTTTACACTTGCTTTGTTTGGTGTGGAAGGGGAAGTGATCATGGTGATGGTGACCTGTGGGTTCTGAGGTACCACCGGAGGGCGTCTCTTTGGCAGGATCATGAATGCAACTGTTTTTCTCTTCTGATTTGCCCTCATTTAGATCCAAAGGGAAGTCAGTTCTTGAGGTGTTCGGGCACTCGTACAATACAGAAGCTTCCTCTTTGGGGGTCTGGGCCTCTGTATTCATGGCTGGACAGTCCTCAGTGTTTGCAGGCCCTGGCAAGACTAGAGTCTCAGCTGACAGAGCAGACTGGAGGAAGCAGGTCGGTGTAGGGCTGTGGGAAGGACTTGGGTTACTAGGGAGTATGGGCATTGAGGCAGAACGAGTGGGCGCAGAGTTCGAACGCTGAATGATACGCTCAAACTCCATCACCCGAAACGTGACAGCATCCCGGGGCATGATCTCAGTCCTCTCCAGGGTAATGTCGTCCCCCGGCTTCTCAAAAAAGGAAGCCAGGCAACGGACACTACCATGGGGGCTGGAGCCCAGGGAGCTCGGCCTCTGAATGTTGTGCATGTTCCGATAGAGGGTGGAGAACTCGGCTGTGCTCCTCACAGATCCCACAACAGGCGCATTTTTATGCAGGTTCCTGCTCTCTGGTGAACCATTGCCCTTGCAAGCTGAATTTAACCTGTGATCGGCATCTGTCGTATCTCCATTGTGTGAGCCACAAGTCTCCTGATGCAAATCCTCGCAGCTGTGTGCCTTAGGCCGCTGTTGTGTCGGCTCGGTTCGTCTTTCCAGGCTCTCATCGGTAGAGGGCGATAGCCTGGGCTTAAACTTAGAGGGAAGGATTTGAGGGATGCAGGCTTTGGCAGCGGACAAGGACTTTTTAGTCTTATATTGAAAAGCTAGTGCATTAGTGGCATGAACTGAGTGAGTATTTACAGAAGAGCAGGATGAAATCATACAGCCATTCCCACCTTTATAATCCACTGGCAGGCATGCAGGGTAACAGAACAAACAGTGAATTAGATTAAACTCGCAACAAGCAAAGACACAATAGTACCACACAACTGGCAAATAATGAAAGAAATGTCACATTAATTTCTAAATAAATATTCAAAATAAAGTGTATTTTATCAGTACAACCAATCTAGAGCATTCAAGAAGGTTTAATTTAATTATGTAAAGTCTGAGGTTAGTACATTGCGTGATTTTTTCCCCAAACCAGTAAATTGCAAACCCTGCCCCATAGCTGATTCTAAAGATTTCAATAGTCATGTTAATAACAGGGCTGACTGTCTATGCAACACTGAAACCAATGCTAACCCCTAACTCTAACCTACCATACAGTAGGACAGCCTGATAGATAAAAGCATTACTGTCACAATTGGATTCATCCGTGATTTTTCTAAACTCTAAATCCATGAAGTCTGAACTTTTCTTGACAGGTGACTGCATGATGGAGTTGATCAATGAAATCGCTGTTGGGTGGGGTTTGCGCTTAAAAGAATCACGCCAGTACATCTGGTACTTACAAAAAATGTCTATGACAATTCAGCATGGATACTAAATATTCACTTCATTAAATTCATCAAATTGCTAGTTTCATAATTTGACAGTTTATATATATATATATATATATATATATTTTGTGCGATCTATATATCGCATGCGATATTTAACGCGCATTTTGTCAGTAAAGCTGGTTCTGTAATCAGCGGTAAATCTCCATCACGTGCGTGCTTTCACATTGAGCAGC